CACGCCAGACATCATCGCCTTGACAGAAACATGGCTTTCTGAAGCTATTGGAGACCACGAGGTATCCCTCAGAGGCTACCAACTGTTCAGAAGAGACAGGAGAAGCCGAGGAGGAGGGGTCGCTGTCTATGTTAGCTACAACCTAACCGCGGTCCCTGAGCATAATCCAACAACAACAGCGGAAGTGGAATTCTTACCTTTAACTATCTCCACTAAATACGCCAGGCCGCTGGCGTTTGCAGTTGTGTATCGTCCCCCAAACCAGACTTCCGAACACGATAGCCTTCTCCTAAGGGAACTGAACAAGACCTGCTCGAACAGAGACGTCCTTATTGTCGGGGACTTTAACGCCCCCAATATCGACTGGCAAGCTTGGACGGTTTCGGGTCCATCAAATACATTCGGACAACATTTGCTTGAATTGGCAGCAGAAAAACTACTTTTCCAGAATGTAACTCTCGGAACACGTGAAAGGGAAGGGCAACGTTCAAATTGCCTCGACCTGGTGCTCACTCAAGGTGAGGAGAGTGTGCTGGATATACAAGATCTCCCGCCAATTGGTGCTAGTGATCATATTGTGATGCTCTTGGAGTACTCCATGTTCTCCCAGCCTAATTCACCTGAACAATTACAAAGAAATATCTGGAAAGGGGATTTTTCTACCATGCGAACGCAAGTCTCAGCAATACCGTGGACCACCACATTGCAGGGAACAGTTAACGACTATTGGAGCACGTTCAGCTCACTGGTCAAAAGAATCGTTGATCTGAACCGTCCACTCAGACGAAAGAAAACAACCAACCGTCCGCCGTGGATAAACCGGAAACTTCAAACCGCATTTAAGAGGAGAAATAAAGTGTGGAGACGCTACCGACAAACAGACAGTTCTGAAGATCTGAAGGAATACATACGACAGCGGAATGCGTGTAAACGCGAGGCTCATAGACTTCGAAGCAACTATGAGCTGCGCATATTACAAAATTCCTTGGAGCATCTCAAAATCCTCTATAGTTACATACGTAATGGACAGAGCAATCGTGAACCGATTCCAGCGCTAAGATCCCAAAACGGAGTAATTGAGACAGATGACCACCTGAAAGCATCAGTCTTCTCCAATTTCTTTCAGTCGGTATTCACTCATGACACATACCCTCCTGCCATGCCTTACGCAGACCAACGACCAAATCCTTCCTGTCCTGCATTGGAAGACAATCCTTTCTTCTCACCCACGTTGATAAGGACCGAACTACACCGGCTGAAACCTGCCAAATCACCTGGTCCAGATGGAATTCATCCACTTGTCCTCCGAGAATTAGCCGATGTACTATGTGAGCCGGTGTCCATGATATTTCGGAAGTCCATGGACGAAGGTGAACTGCCGGAGGAGTGGAAAACGGCCCATATTTCTCCAATCTATAAAGGAGGATCCAGGCTGGAACCCGAAAACTACCGTCCTATTAGTTTAACCTGCATTCTATGCAAGGCAATGGAACGACTTATTAAAGGGCATTTAATGTCGTATCTGGAGCAGAGGGACCTGTTATGTGCTGCTCAGCACGGATTTCGTCGTGGTCACTCCTGTCTTACAATCAGTCTCTACTCTCAGGAAAAGTGGACAAGAGCCATAGACCAGGGCCGTCCAGTGGACGTCATCTTCTTTGACTTTAAGAAAGCGTTTGACAGCGTTCCTCATGGACGACTCCTACAGAAGATTTGGGAGTGTGGAATACAGGGCAGCATTTTTAATTGGATTATAAGTTTCCTGTCATGCAGGCTCCAAAAAGTCATCGTTGGTGCCACTACATCCGAATGGATGCCAGTAAAAAGCGGCGTTCCGCAGGGCTCAGTCTTGGGTCCTCTCCTCTTCCTCATCTATATTAATGACTGTCCTGCAGACCTTGAATGCGATGGCATCATGTTTGCGGATGATATAAAGATCTGGAAAACAATCAGCTGCGTTGAAGACGCGCAGAAGCTACAGGAAGATGTTAATAAGCTGGCTGCGTGGTCCAGCAAATGGCTTCTAGCGTTTAACGTATCCAAGTGTGTAGTCTTGCGACTAGAATCTGGACGGAGGCGCTTCCCAAAACACCAGTACACCATAAATGGGGTTCCGCTAAAAGAAGTGGACACGTACAAAGACTTAGATGTCTGGACATGCTCAAACTTGCTGCCCTCCCAGCACTGCAAAAGAGTCGTCCAACAGGCAACCAGCATCGTGCACTGGATTAGGCGTGCCTTCAAAATCTTTCCTCCAGAACTCTTCTCACAGATATTCGGCACGTTCGTCAGACCGCACTTGGAATACGGAATGCCATCATGGATGCCCTGGATGAAGAAAGACAGTGATACCATAGAGCAGGTGCAACGACGGGCCACAAAACTGGTAGACGGTCTCAGGACTCTGTCATACCCAGAAAGACTGGTCCAGTTAACTTTGTTCCCCCTATCCTATAGACGAATGAGGTGTGACCTTCAGTTCAGTTTATTGAGGGAAATAGGCGTAAGCCTTTGAGTACCCTATTTGCAACGTAAAAAATGTGTGGTGTACAGATAGATGTTCTGGGCTGAAATAGTTCGAACACGCCCATAATGGTGGGACAAAATGAGAAGGAGTTACAGGGGTGAGCTCGACTTCTCATCGCTCTTGGTCATTTCGGAACATATATATGTCCAGATTCTTCTTAAAACTTTGTATAGATGGTGACATCACAACATCTGCGGGAAGCTCATTCCACGGTTTGACCACCCGAACCGAGAAGGAGAACTTCCGCACATCCAGCCGTGCCTGCTGAGTACGCAGTTTTAACGGGTGACCTCGGAGGTTGGTCGTGGTAGCAAATTCAAAAAAGTCCTCGAAGGCCAGACTGCAATCCAAACCCTTTACAATGCGGAAGGCTTGCAAGAGATCTCCGCGAAGTTGCCTGTAACTCAAAGGAAAGAGGTTCAGATTTACTAGGCGGGTTGCATAAGGAAAGGAGCTTTGACCCCTAACCATCTTCGTGGCTCTCCTCTGGACTCTTTCGAGGCAGTTTTGATCCACAACACCCCACGGCCTCCAAGCTTGTATGCCGTACTCTAAATGCGGCCGGACGAATGTTCCGAATGTCTTAGAGAAAGCATCTTCGTTAAAGTCCATAAACGCACGCTTGATGGCGTACAGTACGGACATTGCGCTTTTTGCCATTCTCGAACAGTGGGCGGATGCCCTTAGGGAACTCGTCGTCAGCACACCGAGGTCCCTTTGGGCTTTGACCTCTTGTAGGGCTGCACCGCCCAGAAAGTAGTTTCTTGTGCTGGCGGATCTGGCTGTGTTGCCTGTTATGGACATTCCGCATTATCCACGGACATCAATGTTCGCTAAAAACTGACGACTTCTTTGAATTCACGACCACGAATCACCTGCGCGGTCACCCGTACAAAGTCAAGCGGGAACGTACACGCCTAGACAATCGGAAGTTTTCCTTCAGCCAGCGTGTTGTTCGACCATGGAACTCACTCCCAAGTGAATTAGTGACATCTGATACAATCACTGTATTCAAAAGGCAGCTCGATCGTTTGATCTTTGATAAACGACGACTTTCACAACAGGACTGTCTGCGGCCAGCCATAAATTTCATTTCTTGATTTCATCCCTACCTAACACAGCCCTGACTTTTAATGAAATGTCTCCTCTCAAACTATGCAAATGACAGCACTTTATGCTGATTGTATATAACTGCACTTAAAATTTCATATGTACACTGAGAAGACCGCCTGCCGCACCCTTCGCAGTCCCGCATTGTGAAAAAGTTTTCCGTGAACAAATATATTACTGACAAAATTGTAGTAAGATGTACATTTAACATTTATATTTTATGTACCGTTTTCAATAGGGTCATCAAGGGCATTGCCTGTTATCCTAAAATACACTATTATACAATATCTTCCTCCCAACTAGTCTCCTGCAGCACATTCCCAGAACTTCGATTTCGGCCTTCCTCGTTTCTCATACTTGCAAGCCCAGAAAGTCGGATTACCTGAAGAACAATTCATCCAAATTTTCTACAAAGGCTGAGTTGCTTTTCTACTATTAGACATTGCTTCATCATCGTCTCAAAGTATTTGTCTAAATGTTTGCACTCGGAAGCTTCTCGGCCATACCTTCCCATTCAACTAATAAAGTTATTTTCTACCGAAAGATCGTCATAAAAGCCTTTCCTTCATACTTAAGACTACGCTCTTTGTATATAGAAAAGTTATCCAGAATGTTGGAGTCTGCACTAGTGTTCCAAAGTAACGCGCACTTGGGATTCGGACCGGGGACCTCAAAAGTCAGAGCCCGCTCCGCTAACCCCTACACTACCGACGCACGGCTGGAGAGCTCAGTTGAAAGCTTTGTTAATTCGTCACCGCAGGATCTGGTAGGATATTCATGTAATGGTTGTCAAACGATAGCCTACAAGATGCATTAACTAGAGGAAGAAGTAAGAAATCTGAAGGAACTTATACACAAGACTGTTTCTTCAGAGGACCGCCCGGTGTTATCTACGCAGAGGCTAACTCGGAGTAGAGCGAGAGCCATCCAGCGTAAGGAATCCCCAGAAAGCAATCATGTGGTGAATAAAACAACTACTATTAGTAGTCAAGTCGTGGCTTCCGATGAAAAAAAGAATAAGAAGAAGAAGACGACACTTAACACCACAGGGAAAACTCGCCAGAATACGAAAGAGGGTATATTAGCCTTACCTGAAAAGCTGTTGAAAAATGAAACGAATGTAAATGTGCCAACGGAAGAAGGGGAAGTAATGGGGCAGATGACACCCAATCTTAATAATTCCCAGACAGTGTTCTCATTTCCTGAGCCTAACTTAGAGGGATTATCAATTAGCGCAAAGACATATGGCTATGGACCCGGGGTGGAATTAGCAGCCACCGCGAATTCCCATGTCAACAGAGTTAAGAACCGAGTTAAGGAAGCCTCTAATTCATGGGGGTCAAGCTCTCCACAGAGCCCTTTGATGGGAGGCATTGTTGATAGATCACAGTGTGCAACTATTCACGATGCCTCAACAGGATCCGCGGACGAACTTCACGGGGACATAAATGCCAATATGGCAGCCCCTTCCTCTTCTCCAGTCCACTTCGACGAGGCAGTAGGGCCAGCCAACGACGTCCAAATCGCAGAAGATCGAGGAATGCTTAACAAGGACCACTGTGTCATAATTCAGGGTCTCCCAGAGTCCTCCGCCAGTTCCCCCAGGGAACGAATCGCTGCTGACTTAGAGCAATTCCAGAAACTCCTAAATGAAATGCTGCAACCAACAGAAGATGTCACAGTCCTAAAGGCGTTTCGTCTTGGTAGCCGTACAAATGCCGCTCCGAAGACGCGACCAAGTCCCCTGAAAATCGTCCTAGGTAGCAATGACCAGGCGAAACTAATCCTTTCCAGGCGTTTTCGATTGAAGCATTCCCATAAAGGAGTGTTTTTTTTCAGCCGAACTACTCACCTGCCGAGAGAATGAAACGCCGCGAACTTGTCCTAGAATTGAGAACACGGCAAACCAACGGAGAAAAAAACTTGACAATCTACAAAGACCGGATTGTCAAACGACATTCCGCTCCCCTCTGGATCATGCCGATCCGAATGACCGCAAAGTTACCCCAGTAGCCCGTGTCGGGGTTGAAAACAAATCTCGCATGAACTTGAAACTCATATTCATGTATACCAACGCTCAAAGTGTACTTTAAAAACTGGACGAACTCCGTATCCATACCTCTGACCTCCATCCAGACGCTATGTCAATAACAGAAACATGTTTGTCCGAACAGATTGATGATAGAGAGCTCATGCTCCCTGGATATCAACTGTTCCGCCGAGACAGAGAAAACAAAAGGGGTGGAGGCATAGTAACATTTGTTAGGAATGGCTTGCACGTTTCAGAAAAAAACTGCCCAACTGACTTGTAGTACCGAAGCATTATGACTGACCATAAGGGCACCGGGCTCTCAAAGTCCTGATATCTTGACAGTATATCGCCCCCAGAGAAATGACCCTGACGCTGATGCCCAACTGCTGGAGGAGCTCAGATTATTTTCAACGCGGCCGACTACTCTCATCGTTGGAGATTTTAATGCTCCTCACATCAACAGGAGCTCGGCCTCAGCCGACTGCTCTGAAGCAGCATTTGACCAGCAGCTACTGCGTACCTCCGACAACCTGCTTCTCACACAACACGTAATGTTTCCAACGAGAGTTCGAGAGGGCCAACAGATGAACTGCCTCGATCTTGTGTTCAACAAGTCGTCTGACAACATCGACGTTGTGAATTGCCTCCCTCCGTTGGGTCAGAGTGACCATGTAGTTCTCATGTGGGAATACACATTATTCTCGCTGCCTGCACAACCGCTCGATTCCCGACCTAATATTTGGCGCGGCGATTTCGGACAGATGAAAAAGGATCTTAGTCCTATCGGCTGGGCATCCACTCTCTCCGGCGATGTCAAAGAGGCTTGGTGTCAGCTCAAAGAGTTAGTCCACAACCTCATCTGCAACCACTGCCCAGTCATGCGCAGAAGACTAACAAATAGACCTCTCTGGTTGACTCCGTCCTTAAAGAAGGAAGTTAACAAGAGGAGGAAGCTATGGAAAAGATCGCTGACGGATCGCGCGCCAGAATCCCTAAGCAGTTATAAGTTACAGGGAAATCGGGTCAAAATTCTCATCGCCAGAGATAGGAAAGCTTTTGAAAATAATCTCTTGGACCATGCCATGATTAATCCAAAAATCCTTTACAGCTACATAAGACAGAGCACACGGAACAAAGATCCTGTCCCACTGCTGCGAACGGCTGAGGGTGTGGAAATCTCCGATGACAAGGATAAGGCTGAACATCTCTCTCAGTTCTTCCGATCAGTCGTGTCAAGTGAACCTGCTTTTTCCTCACCCGCTTATGAAGACGAAGGAACGCCTACCCTCGAAGCCGTCTTCTTCACCGAAACAATTGTTCGGAATGAGTTACTAAACCTAAAAGAATCGACCTCCCCAGGCCCTGATGCAATCCCGGCCAAGCTGCTGAAGGAGCTAGCTCCCGAAATGTCCAAGCCGTTAGCCTTGATCTTTCAAACGTCATTCGTTACTGGATGCCTGCCATCTGACTGGAAGTCCGCTACCAACACTCCGCTTTTTAAGGTTGGAAGTCGTGCATCTGCGAATAACTACAGGCCAGTGAGTCTTACCTCCATCTGTTGCAAAATCATGGAGAAGATCATTAAGAAGGCCTCGGTGCAGTTCCTCAAGCAGCACCATCTCCTTTCCGATGCCCAACACGGCTTTCGACGTGGTAGATCCTGCCTCACGAATCTGCTCTTTACGCTTGAACGCTGGACCAAAGCACGTGATGAAGGCAATGTGGTGCACGCCATCTACATCGACTTCAAAAAGACTTTCGACTGCGTTCCTCACCAACGTCTCTTGTACAAACTGTGCAACGCTGGAATTCGTGGACGCCTTCTTGTATGGATCCAGAGCTTTTTGGTTGGACGGTGCCAAAGAGTGCAGGTCGGGCGTCAACAGTCCTCAGAGGTAAGCGTGGTGAGTGGCGTCCCACAGGGCTCAGCCTTAGGTCCCACGTTATTTCTCGTTTTCATAAATGACTGCGTCAAGGACCTAGACTGTGATGCCATCCTGTTTGCCGACGACATTAAATTGTAGAAAGTTATTCACAATGCGGCAGACGCAGATCACCTGCAAGCAAACTTGAACAGGCTCGAAGACTGGTCGAAGCGCTGGCTTATGCTCTTCAATATAAGCAAGTGTAACTTTCTTCAACTCGGCGGCTTCAGAGCCCCCAGCCCCAGGACCTACTTTCTACACGGTACACCACTCCAACAGGTTGACAGTCAGAAGGACCGGGGTGTATGGATTACATCTTCACTCAAACCAACACTGCACTGCGCGAAGGCGGCTAAATCGGCTACGACCACATTGCAACTCATTAGGCGAGCATTTATGGGATTTGACCCTGACTGCTTTTCCAAAATATTTGGCACCTTCGTGCGACCTCATCTAGAATACGCCATACAGGCGTGAAGACCCTGGACTGCCAAGGATTATACCGTCTTGGAGAAGGTCCAGAGACGGGCGACCAAAATGACCCAAGGTCTGGAAGCACTGCCCTATGAAACCAGACTGTCAATCCTCAACCTGTTTCCCCTTTCCTACAGGTAATTACGTGGTGACCTTATACTAACATTTCGCATCATCAACGGCCTAGACTGTTGTGTAGATCCCACTGATTATTTCACCCAAGCTAACACGCCCACTTTGCGCGGTCATCCCCTAAAACTACGCGCAGGGAAATCAAGAATCAATGGATGGAAGTTCTTTTTCAGTAACAGAGTGGTTGCAGTGTGGAATGCCCTGCCTACCGATGTTGCAACCTCCCCCTGTGTGAATTCCTCCAAGTGTAGACTGGACATGCATCAAGCTTCCCAATTACCACCCTCACACCCACTCACATAACTCGGAACCATATTATACGTGTTTATACTACTTTTAATTAGTAATTAATCGTTAATGATTACTCTTTTTCGACTGGCTGCCAGCTGTCCGCGAGTATGTACAAAATCCCTTTTTCACCTTCCCATTTATCCAGGTTTTTCTCCGACGACTTGTAACCAATAGGGAGTTGAAGGGCGCTTGCCTACATTTCCCTTAATAAACTGATACTGATACTGATATAGTTCTATATATGCTTAATATGGCCTTAATATAGACATACGCACGACTAATATGCAGGGTTTTATCGAAGGGTATATTTTTATTAGCTTTATAAGGGATATTTAGTGTCAGGTGACATAGCTGATGTAAACGAGAAAGGGAGGGAAAAAAAGAATATAATTATCGGTTCTATGTTTATCAATGATGCTATCTTTTATAAATTTGATTATTTTTAGTACTATGTTCCGGTATTTTTCAATCGGCTGGCATCATCAGAGCCCTTTTGGACCAAATTCTATATCAAAGAATTGACTTGAAAAATGTCCTATCTTATTCAGAAATAAATGTGTATCATTATTTGAAAGGAATTTCTTAGCTTTTATTTTAAACTCGATTAGGGTTCGACTTTTCCGGATCGAACTTGGAAGAGAATTCCAGATAGTCGCATATCTTATGGAGTAGAAATTTGACTGTTGGGACTTTGTGAATTTGGGAATCCTTATAATATCCTCGCTATTTCTGGTGTTTCTAGGGGCGTTTTGGTTGGTAAGTAAATTCATTTTGAGAATATCTTGGTCGTGGGTGACCTTGAATAGGAAGTTTAGACCATTTTGAAGTCTTCTGATCCAGAGTGGTCGAAGACCGTATTTATGATATAGTTCTAAGTATGAACCCTGGATGCCATCACTTCTAGACAAAGATCTAGTAAAACGTCTCTGAATGCCTTCTAGTTTCTTTCGGCCGTCTGAGAGGATTATGCCGAAGAAAATTGAACAGTAATCTAGAAGAAGTAAAACATACATTTTGAAAAGTTGTATTCTTAATGCATTTAAGGTGAAATTTTTGCATATGAATCCACACAGACGAGTGGCTTTCGGTGATATTTGTTGGACGTGGGGAGATAAATCAAGGGTATTTGTATAGCTGAGACCTAAATCTTTTACAGATTGGGCCTCTGTTATTTCATCATCCTCGAATATTATGGGGGGAAGTTTTTGTGGGCCAAATATCAGGAGATGGCATTTTTCGGGTGAAAAGGGCATCTGCCACTGACTACTCCATTCGCTGAGTTTTCTGAGATCAGTTTGAATTGTTCTATGAATATTGGCTACTGTATTCCCGTTATATGCATATGCAATTTTAAGGTCGTCCGCATATAAAAACGTCTTAGCTGAGACAGATAAGGACGATAATTCGTGAATATATATAAGAAATAGAAGGGGGCCTAGGATAGTGCCTTGAAGTACTCCACTGGTAATAGGGGATGGTTCTGAGACGACGTTTCGAATTTGCACCACCTGGTATCGGTTTTGAAGATAAGATTTAAGAAAATCGGGAAGGGGTGGCCTAATTCCATGACTTTTTTGCTTTATCAGTAGTCTTTTATGGGGGACTTTGTCAAAGGCCTTTCTTAGATCGAAGTATATTGAAGCTACTGTGTTTCCATCATCTCTATTGCTGGAAACGAATTCCAAAAAAGTAAGGTGGCAGGACTGACATGATTTTTTGGGTAAAAATGCATGTTGAGAGGAGGGAGTGAGGTAGGCGTTCATGAGATGGTCTAGCAATTGGTTATATACTATTTTCTCGAGAATTTTAGCTATAGCCGGTGTTCAGTGAATACCAAGATAGTTTATGGTATGAGATCGGTTGCCGCTTTTAAATATGGGCGCAATGGTCGAGAATTTCCACATGTCCGGAAAAATTGTATGTATATGTATATGTATATTGTATGTATATGTATATTGAAGGGTTACAGGCAGAGCCCTTGATGACCCTATTTATGTACAGTGCTTTCGCAGATTCATACTCAAAAATAAAAAAATGTGCAGGCATTTAAAATGTGCTTGGGTCACAGTTCAATCGTAATCATAAGGTAATCCATGGGGTCACTGTAAATTAGTGCGGAAGATTGTATATGACAGATTTTACAAAACTGGCTGTGCATAGTCATGCTGTACAAGCCGA